AAACAGATAAATCTCGACTGATAGTCCAAGAATAATCTATGTAGAATGGATAATGTTTCCTTTACAGTTTACACGTTAGATAACATCTGGTTCGAATTAAGAAGGACATAAAAGATGACAAAATTAAAATGTTACTATATGTATAAAAAAAAATATTAAGAAAAAGGTTAATAAAGATTAAAAAATATATTTATTATACCTAAATAAAGAAATATATATAACTTCTAAGAATATTTAAAAAAAAAGGAAAATAAATATTTCAAATTAAGATTAATTTATAAGTGATTGTTGCTTTTAACAGCTAAGTTTTTATCTTCTAATTTTTTCCCTATTTCTATTCATGATGTATGAATTCTTACAAAGTATTTATAATTTTAATTTCAGTGGTATATTCCTTGAGCAATTATCATTATCTCAATATCACGGCATTTATAATGGAACACTACAAGATTTATATTACCTATATAATATATAATAAAAATAAATAAATGTAATTTGAAAGAAATGTCATGTTCAAATATTTTTTTAGAAATTCATTAAACAAACGATGGTAGTGTTATCAAACAAATAAATCTATATCATTACGTGAGTAATTCATAATTTATCAGCTACTAATGAAATTATACAAACAATAGTGTTTCTAAAAACGAAATGCTTCCATTTAAACATGACCCGCGGTGATTCTTGAAAAAATAATTCTATAATAAATGCACGTAAAATTATCGTGATTACGGGAAATCGTCAGCGGGGAGCGCTGGCCATATTATGTTTTGAATTATGAAGTTACCACTTTGTATCGCATGACAAAGAATAGATTTATTTATACCGACCTTTTATGATTTGACGTCTATTATTTTTTTTATATAACCGATGCATCAAATCTATTATTCAGCCTGATTTATATTCTTGTCTGAAAACACTTCAATATTTTATTAGTGTTCGTGACTCTCATTTGTTTAATTATTTATTTACAGCCATATTTCTTATATAATCTATTTCTACATTTATTATAAGATTACATTTATGAGGCGTGCTTTATGTTATGACGTATATAATTATTGAATAACAGATGCTTGTTCTTTTAATATAGGTACGATGCATAGTTTCATGGCAAGAATTAAAAGTTTTTTTTTTAATTTTTACTCAAATTAAGATAACCTTTTTGAACAATTACTTTATTCAGACGTAAAGCCTTCGACTGTAACTGTGAACGGTCATGGAAAAATTGTCGAAACAATTGCTATTGTAAAACGATTCTAATTATAAAATTTGACATGAGCCTTCTAACGAAGGTCTCTGTCAGGTTTTTTATTGCAAATAATAATATAGTTGTTGACTAAATTATGAATATTCTTATAAGTTAACAGTTCCATTTCATGGTACAAATTACAGTCATGAGGTCAAATGTCGAAACGAGCTGCCTTGAATCGGTCCCATGATGAAAGTTTCTCTAAAACTGCTTATTGCTTTATAATCTCGAATTGATCGCGTAAACGGCCCAAAACTATTATAAAATGACTCTTTGTTTATGAGTACAATGGAGAAGATAAATGTCGTGACTTTTCCTTTTCCCTCAGTTATAATTCTTGGTTATTGACCACAAGATCAAGCTTAGATTCTAAAGCTTACATTGTATTAGAATAACGTGAGAACTAGGAGTTCTTTTTTTTCGTGGATGCCTAGAGGTTAAAGGCCTGCCTCTCATTAATGAGGGCGCGGGTTCGAAACCTGGCAAGTACCAATGTGATTTTGATAGAGAGACACCACTGAAAGACGGTGAAGGAAAACATCGTGTACTTATAACTTCCAATTATAAGTTTGAAATCGCCAATCCGTCTTGAGCAAGCGTGGTGACTAATGTTCAAAACTTCTCCATCTGAGAAGAGCCCTTTGCTCAGCAGTGGGCTCTGATATACTGATAATAAATGACTTCTATTATTATAAAATGATTTGTAAAAAAAATCTGACCTCACTATATATAATATAAACTATATTACAGTTGTATCTTATACCTACGTACTTGTGAACAGTTCATGACATAATTTGAACAGTGTAGATACCTACCTACTAAAAAATAGAAGCACGTTCCTTAAATGCCTTGTGAAGGCAATCGCAATTAATTATTAAACACCGGCCTTTAGACTAACATAACAAAATTTAATTATCAATAAAATACCAATCAATGAACCAAAGTTACCTTTCCGTACACAATTAAATAAAATTACCAACAACAAAACATTACCTTGATTAAAAGTATAATATAATTTCATTAATTATGTTATTTAGCTCGAATTTGCTAGCATATATCTCGTCTATTCTTGAGAACAAAGCCCAATTTGGTATAATGTTCTATAAAACTCATTACAATATCTTTGGCAACGATAGAAGGTCAGACGACAAAATGCAAACACGAAAAGCAACTGCAATAACTCGTATCAATGAACTTGATTCACTTCAATAGTTCGTTATGGCACAGTTATTTTTACTGTATTTGAAAATAATAATGATTTTAAATACTAAGAATATTTAAATCAAATACTTTTTTATTTCGAACTAACTTCGTCGTGACTCTAATTTGTGTTGAAAATATTTCGTACTTACTGCAAGTATATTTTAAAATATAGGTATATTCCTCAGCACTATTTCTGCATGTCAAAAATCTTCCAATCTGTTCTATTTATAGGAAGACTATTTTTATGTTTTTACGTAACCCTATAGAATAATTGTAATCAAAACATTGAATTTATATATTGATAATTTTAACTGGCAATATTAGCATTAAAATCATATCGTCAGGCTCAAAAGGATTCGTATCCAGAGCCGTAAAAACATTTACAAAAAAAAACAAACATATTGTCATGAAAAGAGTTGGTATACCAAATTTTTTTTGTTTTATAAAAATGATGATAGATTATATTTTCTTTTTATAATGGAAAATTAATAGTCTGGGGTTTACGTAAATAATTCAAGGGCGCCCAGCTTCGTGCAAGACGCAATATTGCACTTATAGATTATGTGTGCTGTAATTATAGATATTGTATTCAATCGATCACAATAGATCAAAATTTAATTTTCCATTAGGTTATATAATAATACAAATATATCATAATTTTAATGATATTTCCATTAATATAGGTAATAAATCAGTTTATTATGTTTCCTTAATTTTATCACTAGCAATCATTGGATGATTTTATTGAAAAATACTTAACCCTTAAAATCGCAACGTATTTGAATTGGAAGTAAAATATTTAGCTGCCTCACAAATTTTCTCATCGTAAAAACGTTCTCCAATTCATCTTATCAACATCATGCATAGGTTCTTCGGCACAACTAATTTTATTTCTATTTTAAAATGAGATTTTCGAAATCGGTTCATCCCTTAAACTCACGGTTCAGCAAAGTAGGATCCTTTAGAATAACTTGTTCGAAAAGAAATAGTGCCGGCAACTACTGCTTAATCACAATAATGACGTATAGTCCTTATAATGTTCTTAAATCTGTTACATCAATGTGTAAATTAAAGTTAAACTTACTATACTGATCGAATACATATATAAAGTCATATATAATTTAATTTATTCCATGAAGTACATAAATTTAAACGACGTATATATTATATTGAAAGAAAATACCGTCTCCTTTGAAATCAATTTCTTTTCTCTCCACTACTGTCTTTGAACGTAATATACCACCTTGGAACGTACGTGTTTTCTAACAATAACTAAAAACGCAATACACTGGTGGCTCTTTTGTACTAAACTATGATTATTTAATAATTTTTTTCATTGCGTCATAAACACGTTATGTCATTAGAATCGCTTGGTTATTATGTTATAAATAGTAAAATAGTTTTACGAAGTGAGCGATGTCACTATTATAATTTATTTATATATTTCCTATAGTATAGTGGTTCCGGTGTCAGTTAGAGAACAAAGGGCATATATGTAACTATATGAAGTGAATTAAATATAACCATAGGTTTAGAAACGATGACCTTTTTTTTATTATCTTCTTCTACCTGGCAATTTCCCAGCTATAGCCAGGGTCTGCCTTACATGTTATGAATAGTTTTTGGCTATTTGTTTTTACGACCGGCCGCCTGCCTGACATCAACCCTCTTTTTGGGAATCAACATTAATTAGTGATGTCTAAATACTCTATACTCTCTCTACTCTACTCTTTATTATATCACATAAAATACATTTTAGGGAGGAATTATTGATAGCCGAATTCTTTCATTAAGCCATCTGACTTACACAGTTTAAGGATCAATCTTGTATCTATGTACGTATATGATTTTCATAAAAGGCCATTGTGAGCAGTGTCACTTGAAAGACTACTCTTCTATAGAAGAGCTACAACAGCTATAAGCTGTTGACTATTGATAATTTATTATTTATTTATTGTAATATTTCAATGTCTATTTTATAATAAATTTGTTTTCTTTTTTTTATTTTCAGTGTCCACAATACATGGAGAAGATTTCGGCTATGATGGGGTATTAGGTGTAGTATATATTTTTAAATATATAGATATTTATATGGTTTTTAGCATAAATTCCAAATTCATTTATTATTTCGGCATCAAAATTAGACAATTTGTTATTTAAACTATTTATAAATTAATCTTTTATTCAGAAAGTGATGCAGTTATTAGAACTTATATAATTATGCATAATTAATTAAATAAATTACTTGGAATTGACTTCCAATAACAAATAACGTAGTATAGGAGGGGTCCTATTAATTATACACTAATTATATAATGATACACGTGTTAAGTAAATCGAATGCATGTGTCGTATGACAAAGTAATAGTCACTGTAATAATTTCTTCTTAGAATAACGTATAAACTCTAAAGTCGTAAAATTTACTACACTTAAAATAATAGTTTCGTTTATTGTGCTCTCGTTATCAGTCGAAATGCTGCAACTATGTAACTAAAATCAATGCTAAATAATGAGTTTTAAATTTTATAATTTAAATTTAATGCTACTATGATTACAGGTCCTAAATATTGGGGTGAAACGTATCGGGAATGTCGAGGCAAACACCAAAGTCCTATAAATATAAATATACTGCGTGTAAAACAAGTTGCTTTACCAGATATAGTGTTTATTGGGTTCGATGATCCCATAGACGATGTTCACGTTACAAACAATGGACACACAGGTGAGCGCGAAATATATTTTGGAAGTAAACATCAAAACACTTCAAGGTCAGTAGTAAATTATTATTGTAGCTAAAGTGTTCTACAGGAAATATCTTATTTATCTTATTCGGAATCATTTTGTTTCAAAATAAGAATAACAAAACATTATCGGTTGCAACTTCAAAATATTTTTTTATATCTATTGTATTGCTGTGAATTTATTCATGGTGTTTCTGTTTCTAGTTTTGATAGAAGTAGAGAATGAACCACATCCACGAGTGAGTGGTGGACCCCTGGATGGTAATTATGTGTTCAGTCAGATGCATTTCCATTGGGGAGACAATGATACCTTCGGATCGGAAGACAAAATTAATCATCGAAGGCAAGTCACATTAAAGGTTCCTTTAATAGTTATAGCTACCTTCAGTCGTATCAAAGCCTGATGGATACAACGACATATACAGGGTGACTGGTGAATTACTATCGATATTTGAGGACGTGATATTTGACGATCATATATGACAAAATAAAAATTAATATAACATAAATATTAATAAACTTCTGAGTAAAGTTAACCAAAAGTTATGTAATTAATTACGCATGGTATGAACACCCTACAGATTAGGTATACACACACACTCACACACGCGTGCTGATACAACACTACGCCGCCGCACGCGTCCACCCTTGGAACACTTGGTACGTGTCAACACTTTATTTATTTATACGGAAATTTGGTCAAAAATTAAGTACCTATTTTTTTTACATAATTCAAATGAGAATCATGTGACGAGTATTCTCCTTAAATATTGATAGTAATTCACCAGTCACCCTGTATGCAAAATATTTTACGAATCTGTAGGGGTTAGAGCTTAGGTGTGGTCAAAGTATTACAGCTCGATCATGGGCTGGCTCGACCAGGGTAGTACTCCCTCACATAGAATATCGGCTTCAAGTAGTCTTTAATAGCTACGTTTCGTGCGATGAGTGAGAGAGCCGGTTGCCCTTTTTCTTTTCTTACCCTTTCCTCTTCACAATCAAGATCGGCAACGCATTCGCAGCATCCCTTACGTTGCAAATGTTCATGGGCGAAGCTGACTACCTTCCATCTAGTACTAGGCCGTCTGCTCGTTTGGCGCCTTTGATATAAATAAAACTTTCGTTAAAGTTGTTAAAATAATAAAACATAACGTAAATATCACCATTGTTTAGAAATATACGACTATAATTGCTTAATACATTAGCACAGGTTAAAAAAGAATATTTTTCTAAGAAACATTGTAATAATTTGTAAATATGAGTAATTACTTTTGTTTTTTATGTCTATTATTTTCGAGAATTCGTGTTTTTACTTCTCAGACAGTTACAATAAAGTATACATAGTCAGTCTTTTGTCATAAAAATAATAAGAATATGTGTTTATTTCAGTTTTCCTATGGAATTACATATGGTGTTCTATAAAGAAGTATATAAATCGGTGAAGGAAGCTATTAAACACCCGGATGGCCTAACTGTTCTTGCGTTCTTCTATGAGGTAATAAAATAAAATTCAAATTTGGTTTTTAGTCGTATAATAAATTATAGACAACAAAGTAAATTTATCTATATTATGACGACAGATTGTAAAACGTTGCAATAACGGCGTCGTTTTTTAAAAAGAGTTTATTTATTTTGTAAAAAAATGTTATAAACTAAGTTTCGCGGATTGCATTTGATTTTGTACATGAAACAACTCTTGGAATTTGGAAAACTGTGATGTTTATCCAGATAAATAGTCCGATCGATAATTTGTATTACTTCAAACTAAAAGAAAAATTTGTTATTAGGTAGTTAAATATATAGGTCATATTTTTAATCCGATTTTAAAAAATATGTACAAGGTATACGAAAATAAAAATAAAATTGCAAAAAGAACCTCATAAATATACACCCAGAAATAATAGGATTAGATTCAAAATAAAAGTTGAATTTGAAATTACGACGAAAATGTTTCAAAAAACTTATTATTACAAAAAAATGTTCCTTTTTCACAAAAAATACCTATCATATGTCTACACCAATTAGTTTAAAACGAGTTAAAATAACTACTCGAATAATAAAGAAATTAGCAAGGAAATATCGAAAATAATAAAGTCATGAAATAATATATACCTTATTGAGTAGGTAATTAATTATAATATACCATCTTTTTATTGAGAACATTTATAACAAAGTGGTCGTTTACTGAAACAATTGTACTTGTTTCCTGGAATGTCTGTACGATAAGCTTGAAAGTAAACATTATTCGCAGAATAGTAAGTCTTTAGATCGGATATTAGCTTTTAATTTTATTTCAAACATTTTACCCTTATTAGTCATACCACATTATATAGGAAGGAATTTATTACAAAACAAGGAATTGCTTTACTTTTTACTTGTAAGTAATCTCATATTAGACATGTTCGGAGGAATACTAGATACATATATATTTTATTCTTACTGAGCAATATTTGAATGAGACATTTGTGATGATGTACTTATTATTTTCTAAATTATCTCTATTTCATAGTTTCTACAAAGGAATCTCTTAGTAATGGACTTGTTGATATCGAAATTGAGTGGATAATTGATCTCCTTTTCCATGACTGACCAAAACAGTTATTTTATTGTATGTGTACCTACCTACATACATATGTGGTTGATTCATCTACTTACAAAGACAAAGCCGTAAAAACTGTAGTGAAATGGCGTGTAAGTTATAAGGCAGATGATGAGGAACCAAAGTTTTGTGGTCCCTCTCAATGTTCAAATCCTTATTTTAAATACAAATGCGTCATACACGTACGTAATACACGTTGTTTATCTAGATTCTAGAGTATTTAGAAATACATACTTATATTTTGAAAAATTCCTAAAAAAACAAGTTCCTATATTTAACGCGAACATTGTTAAATCCAATAGTTACATAGAACAATATCAGTAATAAGTAGATACAAATACATATTTATACCAAATGTTAGGAATGACAACTATCAATACTTAAGTTAAAGGAAGCTTGATCTCTCTTGGTCTATAATTAAATGAAACAAAATGATAATTTTTTGTTAGAAAGAAATAACTTAAACTATGTATATTTTTTTTTAGCTCGATCGTCACAACCATCCCGCCTACGATGATATAACCTCAGCGTTGACAAACGTCACCGACCCACATACAACAGTAGTAATGAGCCAGCCGTTCTCTTTCCTCAACATCCTGCCTCTGGATTTAAGACGATATTTCACGTACAAGGGTTCATTGACCACACCACCGTGTTCTGAAGTCGTTATATGGCTGGATTTCGAACAACCCGTCAGATTGGCCCATGAACAGGTGAGATTTTATTATAGTAAGACTTTATAACCTTTTAGGGTGTCCAAAAGACAAATAAACTTTGTTTGTAACATTTAGTTTTGCTATTAAAAATTTTTTTATTTAAGAAAATATATTGATTAATTAAGAAAATATATTGGATGAATAATGAAATCCTTTGCTTCTTTCAATATTTTTAAAAAACATGTCATGTTTTAAGTAACCTCTTAATAATATTTGATGGCTATATTTTAAACAACCATCCAACCATTAATATTTGATTAAAAAAAGATATTATATTTTTTTCTTATTTCTATAGATTGAAATCTTCAGAGAACTTCGCTCGGCCAATGGGAAGATCAGACACAATTTCAGGCCAATACAGCCTATAGGCGATAGGACAGTATTCTATAATGTAGACAATAATTATTTCACATACAACGAAATTGACGATCCTGACATTGAAAAAACAAAGCCGAAGCAGAAGAAAAGCGGACACAACAGCGGCAGTAACATACAACTAAATATGATTTACTTATTTAGTGTTTTATTAATCTTAGTAAAAAATTACTACTGAATGTAGAATAATTGTTGTTTTGTGTACATAGAATTTGCAAGCTTTTGACTGTGTATGTATGTAGATAGTGAAAATGTAATTCATAGATATTGACTATAGAGTATAGACATTGTTCAGTCCGAAAATGCACTTTTTTTAGAACATAGAGCTTGCGTATTTAATATTTAGAAAATAACTTATTGAAAACTCTGAATTGTATGTAAATGTGATAAAAGAATATAACAACAGAAGACAATTGATAAATCAATAAGAAACAACCGTAAATATTATGTTTGTTTTTATATATGTAATATGATATTTGTAGTTTTGTGACAAAGAACAAGCATTAAAAGTCTGTAACAATGACAAGATTATTAAGAATTCGGTTTGAAAATGGTGGTCACACAAACTGTATTTATATATATATTTAATACTAACTCATTATTATCTAAATTACTTGACTGTGATAAACTAAAGATAAAAATTTCTATTTATTAAAATATATTAAATCTCAAATAATAACGTTTGAAAGAATAAAGTATGAGATTGATGAAATAAAATTCATATATAGTCTTAATAAAATGTAATTCTAAAATGTCTCAATCATCATCGGTAGACTTATTAGCGTTCAAAGTTACTAATGCACTTAAATTTTCTTCATTGCCTTCTTTAAGCCTCTCCCATATTAATTCTGCGATAGCTTTTTGTGTTCGTCGTTCAAGTTTCTCCAATTTCTTTGCTACATCTCTCTTCAAATCCCAATCCGGCTTTCTAGGCGCTAAACTAGATATATCCAAGTCTTGAAGTACCACCTGGAAATTGTAATATTAATTAGGAAATTTATTTATATAAGTATAGTACATAATGTACAGCTTAAAGCTTAATTAGCTTAGGTATATAGCTTTATAGATGATGATTTTACTGTCAATGAATTGGAATAAATTTATTGTTTTAGTGTACTAATTATTTATCCATTCCTATCTGAAGATTTCCATAAATTTTGATATGCTAAAGTTTTTAGTTATGTTAGGTATCACATTTACTTGTTTCTAAGATTTTATTTCATTTTTAATTGAAAACAGAATTAAAATAACAATTTAGAATGAATATATGTATAAGCAGGATAATAAGGTGATGCAAATACAAACTAAATAACATTCTTTGTACTGAGCGATTTATATACTGTTAAAGTGACAACCCTGAGTGAAGCCATTGATGAAATTAAAGTATGTGATTATAAGAAAATAATTACTATAACATTGTAATAATAATTTCAAACAACCAATATGACTTAAAAATTCTTTAACATTTGAATTTTTACTCAAATCTGGTGTCTAACTATGCAATACAAATTAATCTTCTTCTACCTGGCAATTTCCCAGCTTTAGCCAGGGTCTGCCTCTCATGCATGATAGGCAGGCCTGTTAGTTACTAGGTCAACACTGACTTAACTATGCAATACAAATTAATAACAATATATTATTATGTATGTTATAAAAAGTTTTCATCTAACCTTTTCTTTGCCGGCTTCAACCAGATCTTTAACTTCCTCTTCAACCTGAGCAGGTTCAGCGTCTTGTAATTTTTCTTTCTGTAAGTTTTCATCTTGTGGTTTGTAGCTCCTAAACTTCGGCCTGTAATGTAACCATTACCAAAACTTTTATTATGTTGGGAAGTAATCGAAAAATGAGAGATAACATAAGATAAATATACTTTATTGTACACTGAAACAAAAAAAGACAAGAAGCAACACAACAAAATAGAAAACACGGTACAAAAGGCGGTCTTATCGCTAAAAGAGCGATCTCTTCCAGACAACCTTTGTATAGAGGACATTGAATAATCTAAGAAAGGGGTTCGGAGGTGTACACCTTTTAGGTAAATCATATATACACAAACATAACATATCTACATAACATACATATGATGAATACATGTTATATATAACATATAAATACATGTATAAACATAATAATACATATGTTTTATAAATAAATTCAAATACATAAAAATACATACTTATATATAAAGTATTATTATATTTTATAGATAAAAGTACAATGATTTACAATGACAAATAATAGTGTTTTAGAAGCCTCTTAAAAGCAGCAACGGATTGTGCACATATTATATTTATGGGCAAGGAGTTCCACAAGCATACTGCTTGGACAGAGAAGGATTTAGTAAAGAAGTATGGGAAGGAGCTTTAAGAGTAAGGTTTAAGTATGCAAAACATTAAATCTCGAAGAGAATCTTGAAGTCCAACCAGTATCGAATTACCTAGTTTATGTTATAATAAGGTTATCAGAATCCCAGTTAAAATAAACTCACTTTGGCAAGACAACAGGTTCGTTTTTAGAAGTGTCCCCAGTTTCATCATTTGTGTGTTTACGTTTGAGATTTTTCAGTCTCTCTTTTCTTTTAAGAGCTTCTTCTTCTAAAGCACCAACACCTTCCATTGTGTCTAATATTATCATAATATTAAACACTCGGACGAATTAAGAGCTTAAAATTTTAGATAATATTAAAATGCTTTTATCGAAAATTTTGAAATTCGAATGCTTCGGTAATTCGTAAACAATCGAAGAATTTACATTTCACGTTTGTTTTCAGTTGTGAAAAGATATTTTTTAAATGTGTGTTCTTTGATAAACAAAATTAACCAACTTTTAGTCCTATTTTAACAACACACTATACAACAAGATTTGAAAATAACATGAGACATCATGTCACTGCGAGACAAATGTCAATTTCAACTTTCAAGACAAAGCCATGAAGCCACAGCGTCATAAAAAAAGAGTAATCCATAGCGTAAAAAACTTTTGAGCTTGCCTTAGTTTAAAATTGAGATTGTTACTTAAATAAGTGAATCAAAGTATCAAAATAAAGTATGACAATTGGATTATTTCTTATTTTCAATAATAAATAAAATTTTTGTATGTGACCATAAATAAAAATATGATTATAATAAGTATTTTTATATATGCATATTCTGGGATTGACTCAAAGAACAAGGTATCGAGCATCAAGTACTGAAGCAGCATGTGTCTGAAAAGCGTTGTTACAAATATAATGGGATGCTCAACCCATTTTAAGCACAAAGTACCTAACGTTAGTTAATTGTAAAGAGTACCTACCTATTTTATCATTATTTCAGTTAAGTTTTTTTTTTTCGTTTTAATTTCTCTTCTGGACGCCGTTGAATAAATTATAATTATATGATTACATAGTAATTTTATTAATTCTTTTTAGAAAACTAAAGTTGTAAAACTATGTTTTGTGCGGGTGATGAGTTTTAAATAAATTAAATACCATCATACATTCTGCCTACCTTATTCTAAACATTTGTAGATGCACCTGCTTTCTCAGACCCACTAAATAATTTTTTGTTAGGGATGTCCTCTCGATGGTTGGGCAATAGGCATGTATAATATAGGTAGGTATATAGTATGGGCAGGGGTCTTTTGTAAGCCGGCAGGGTCGCGAGGCAAGCTCGTGATATACCGTGGCCCTGCCTAGGTGGCGTGGATGAGGAACACCCAGGGGTTTTAGTGGGTCGAAACCCCACATAACCCGGTCAAGTCCCCGCTCGGCCGGGTATCTGTGAACAGATTTCCCCTGGGAAAAAAAAAAAAAAAAAAAAGGGGTCTTTTGTAAAGCAGGAGACACTCATTACTGAGCGGACTGAAACTTTTGCGGAGGTTACCACTCTGGAAACAATTTAATCTACTCTAACGACGGGTAGCGCTACTTGAATTCAGGGTCTCGTTTACTAACATCGAAACCCAGGACTCGCCTGAGAGTGGAGTGCCCTTCGTATCATAGCGGCCGGCAATTCAAATTACATGTCATGATATGACTGTTGTACGGTAATACTAGGACATAGTCTTAGGTGGATTTGATGTTGTTAGTATTTGTTACCTTGCTTTTCACTTCACTCTCCGCTTGAGATAAAGAGAATCGGTACAACTATGGGTTTACTGACGTTAGATCTTGGGCTTAGTTTTCCAAGATTGAGATTTACTTCAAGTAAAAGGCTTTTCTTAAAGTAATAGGTATCATAGTTTTATTACCAGTGTAGGGTTGAAGAAATAAATCCTTTGATATTACTCCTGTTTTTGTTTATTAATAATACACATTAATTTTATATATTTTTTGTATAACTCTATGTGACTTTTTGGGACTGCATGTAAACCCCCAGTCTTATAGCTATTATATTAGCTGGTTTTAGTTTCTCTGGATCATGTAGTTGTAAAATAATAAAAAACGTCGTGTTAATATCCGAAAACCTTAGTTTTATACAAAATTAGAGATTGAGTGAAAGAAAAATAAATCAAAGAAATCGATTTTTCGATTTCTAATCAAGAATAATAGACAAAATCAAATAAAAATTCCAATCCTCAGTATGTTACATTGATCAATGTACATAACATTATTCTAATAACTAATTCATATCCATATTATTATTATATATATTGTGTAAATTAATAGACAATTAACGCTTTCTATCTTTATTGTCACTTTTAATATTTTTAACATCAAATCAACGTCTCTTAAATATTATACATATATTTTTTTGTATTTATGTAAATGAAACAGAATTTAATTATCCGCTATTTATTGTTAAAGTATACATAATCATAATTTAACATAATATCATTTTCGTATTTACATTCTTATATTATAAAAATACATAAAATATTTTTGGATGGGTACGTTTCATTTGTATTTAAATGTGAAAATGGCGGTAAACTGAAAAAATATTTGTCACTTTGATAAAGTATCAAGCTTATTCTTTAAATTAAAATAAGTCGAAAATAGAATTTAACCAAACTAATTTAACCTCTATGACTATTGATTACTTATGAGCGATTATACACTTAAATTTAAATCAGTACCTACTTATAATAAGCATCTCAAGTTAGCTACTTATGGCAGGATAAAATTATTCTGTAAAATAAATAATTTTTGTATATTAACTAGATGCATACAGAAATGTTATTCTCATCTTATAAAATCACGTATTGAAATCTAAATTGTTTCAACAATGACTTACGACTGTTATTAATACATTGCTTCTTTTTCAAGATTTCATTGTCAATTACTTCTTTACTAAATTGATTTCAACTAACATAACTTCATAATTCTCTAGTTGTGTAAGCCTCTTTGTAACTTTTTTATTTTTACTTTTTACAAATTACAAATATCTTTATTTCAGAGGTCTCGTGTGCCTCCGGCTGTCAAATTGTAATCTATTATTAGATATTGGGATCCCATGGTTGAGAGATAATACTTTAGTCACGATGTTAAGATCTTCATGCGCTCTTGGATGCAAACTTGTTTGTGATAAAAGCTGCTTTAATTCACTATCTGAACCAAATTGATTTATCGGAAAGAAGCGATGCGAGAATCCGTGGTCAAAATTATTAAAATTAACACCTAAATTTCCAACGCCGCTTTCATGTCTGAATACTCTGTTGTGTTGTGGTGGATTGGGCTGTAAAAAGTTTCCAATTCCCTGTGGGAGATGGTTTTCTTGTAATGGAAACTGATCTGATTGTTGCTTGCGTAAATGCAAAAGGAAATCAACAGCTTCTTTGTTTGGCAGCTGTTGTTGGCCAGCAAGAGTATTTGGTTGATCCAGTACTACACTTGGATGTATTGATACGTGGGATTTCTGTGGTCTTAGGCCGTTATTTACAGTGGGATTTTGTGGAATATGCTTGTGATTGGGAAAATTATTATTCAGTCTGGATACCTTCTGTTGTTCAGCGACAAGTTGCTGCCTTTTAAGTTGTTCCTGTTCATATAACGACTGTTGTCTTTGTGCTTCTTTCTGTTGTAAAAGAATTTGTTGATTTCTTAGCAACTCTTCTTGCTGTCTTTGTTGAAACTGGAGGAATCTAAGCTGTTCTTCAAGGAGCCTTTGTTTTTCCTCTAACTGTTTCTGTAAGGTCAGATGTTGGCTTATGAAATCATTTGTTGGTACATTAAGGAAACTACTGGGCGTTGGTTTTGGTGGCAATAGTTCGGGAAGTAAAATATTGGTTGGCAAGTTTGCTGGTTGAGAGATTCCGTTATTAGTTTGTTGGTAAATGGGAATAACTCTTTTCGGAATACCATTAGCGTCTTGTTGCACTGTAAAAGCGGCTACTAGCGGAGCTTGGAATACTTGAACGTCTTTTTTATCAACATCCTCAATATTTTCGCCATCTTCATTATGCGTAGGTTTAGGAGTTGTCGTTGTTGTAGTAGTAGTTGTTGTTGTCGTCGTGCTAGTGGTCGTTTTCGGTCTGTACACAGGTTGATTGATTTTTTCACCGTTTGCAATACTTTTTTTAGGATTACTTTGGATGCTTCTTACTTGTTGTACATTAATACCAGATTCCTTTGCTTGAAATATTTCACTGAAAGGTGTTTGCGTAGGTAGAGTTGCTGTTGCTGTCACGTGATTTTCGACATTACCAACAGTTGAGCTTATTATAGATATGTTATTATCGATGTATGTGGGACTTGAGTTAGATGAGTTAGCAAAAGCTGACTGTCCATTTACTAAGAACGAATGAATTCGAATGCTCTCTTTATTTGCTTGTGTCACGGAAAGATCATCCTCAGAAGTTAATCTATCGGTATTCGTATTTGATGTACCGTCTGTAGTTTCAAAATCTGTGACATTATTACCTTCTTCTAGGTCACTGAGAGCCTTCAGTAAAGCTTTCCTGATATAAGGATCTAAGCGAACTGAAGGCGTCGGATCTACAGTATTAACTTTGTCATAATAATCATCATTCCTAGTAGTTTCTTGAGCGTTGTTGAAGTATATTAAACTGATTAATATAACTGCCGCAGCCTGAAACAATTAATATAAAATATAAGTCAAATACGAAATAAATGTCATAAAATATTTTTATTTACTTAGTGTAAAATATAAATTTATACTCAATTGTTAAACAGATATTATTTTACTCTCAGCAAATATAGGTTAATGAACAAAATTTATCGATCTAACGTATCATTAATAAAAACAGATATAAGAAGTCATAACTTCCGTAAATAACGATTCTACAATTATACAATGCTTTCAGGTTACGAGTTAGTGTAACGTTTTTAAAATTGTTTGTGTAATGTAGAACAATGACAACTTCTTGTAAGATAATTACATAATATGTATCATCTTCCTCCGTGTAAAAAATTGTAAGAAGGTAATCGTCTAACTAACTATGTGCCGTATACATAAAATATCTATAGTTTTATAGTAAATTCGTCACTATATATAAATATAATAGTTTTTGCCCGCGACTTCGCGTTAATTACGGAATTATATGTATAGCTGACCGGCCGAAACTCTATTGTACACAAGAGGCCATAAAGAACGAGATATTGGAATGTACTAAATTTATTTTTCTGTGTCTATAGAACAGAATTCAATATCCTATGTTCGTCTCCTGGTTCTAAGCTATCTCTCCACCAATTTTCAACCACGTCCCTATAGCCGTTTTTGAGTTATAAATAGTGTAACTAACACAACTTTCTTTTATACATACCTATATATATAGATTAATATCGTGACTGAATTAAAAATTATTATCTTTAAAAGTGGTCTTCTCGAGTTATATTCAAGTGGAGGTCTATCAATAATAAGTTCGTGAACGGAACTTACACATATAATCTTAAAGAAATGAAAAAAATTAAAGTATATAAAAGCGTGCACGATAAATATATTATGTAATCATTTCTTTTACCATTCTTATATATGGAAACTTAACAAACAAGTGATTATTAGTAAAATATTCAGGACTGCTAGACCCTTTTAACGCAAGGGATTTTATAAACGTTTTCTAGTTTAAAATCTTTGTCACCTATGTATCAGGTAGAAGTTAGGAATTTTTATATTATGCACTATTATTTTTAATTGTATTCCAATCTTTAATTTTTAATAGGAAAATATTAGTTTATTGAAATAATAAAAAAAGAATTTTTACTACAGAGCAACGTATATTTTGTAAAGTTATTAAATTTCAGTAAGCTTTAAGAAATTCTTACCTCTAATTATAAAAGAAGAAAGCGAAATCGAAGATAAATAATAAGCCACCGGGAGATATAGAATTATGTAGCTGTAATTTAACATATTGTTATGCAAGAATAGTCGTGCATGAGACTTATCTCAATTAAAGAGATATGCCTTAAAGCATTCCGGTGCTTGACCCTTTGAACAATGATCGCCACGCTATGATTTATAATCTTTATCTATGATTGCACGTCATGTAATCAAGAACATTGAATACTCACAATATGTTATAAAATAGCGAGAGCTTTCTCGAAGAAATACCTATGTTAAATTTGAGTTTAATGGCATCTTACTTAAATTACAATGATATATATTATTAAAATTATGAATAAGCATGATTTCTACTGAATAAAGTTTAAAAAAGAACAGTTGGATGAGAGTATCCATTTTATTATCGACAAGCTTTCCGTCCGCAGCTTCGCCCGCGTGGAGTTCGATTATATTATCGCTTTCCAAGAGAACCTTTCAAAAGTCTGGGATAAAAACTATCCTTTGTTCTTTCTCAAGGTCAACTCTATCTCTGTACCAAATTTAATTAAAATTAGTTCAGGGGTTTAGGCGTGAAAGCATAACAGATAGACAGAGTTACTTTCGCATTTATAATATTAGTAGGGATTAAAAATTAATTGACTTGATTCCGTAAGGTGTCTGTTAATATTCTAAACTTTTACGCAATCTAAGGATTTACTCGTAACAAATGAATACCATTAATTTTCTCCAAGCATAGTAAAGGACAGTACGATAAACATAAAAGATGAATTGATTTAATCGATTCAAATACCTGTTCACATAATAATTTTAACTAGTATTATAACCATGTAAGCTATTGACAGTTTCGTGGGTGGCTTGTAAAACCATACATGATGTCACTTATACATACAATGGCGCGGATTATACAAGAGTATTGTCAACAGATGAATTTCACTTTCAAAGGTGAACATAGTTTTTTTTCAAATAAGATTCAAACTCTTGTTGCGAGTCCATCGATTGTTATGCATCGATATATTAATATATTGCCAAATGCCAAATCACTTTTCAAGATCGTCCCAAATTTGACGAGCATTGTTGTATAATTGACAATTGAAAAATATAGTATACTCTCCAAGTCATTTGGATGACACACCAAATTCATAAGCTGCTAGTAATATAGGTACCATTAGAATTTCAGCAATTTATAAAGTAAGCATGACTCAAAAATTAAAATTTGATTACTTAAAAAGACATCTAATGATCGTTGACCGTTGTATTAAATTAAAGAAAGACGTCCTTAAAGTCAGTGGTGGCCTAGTGGTTAAAGGGCCCGCCTCTCGTTGCCGAGGGAGCGGGTTCAAACCTGGCAAGTACCAACGTGATTTTTCGAAGTCATATGTACTTTCTGAGAGTATTTAGACACCACTGACTTACGGTAAAGGAAAACATCGTGAGGAAACCTGGACTTATAGTTTCACAATTATAAGTTTGAAATCACCACCCCGTCTTGAGCAAGCGTGGTGATTAATGCTCAAACCTTCTCCATGTGAAAAAGAGGCTTTGCTCAGCAGTGGTAGGCTGATAACTGATAGGCTGATGACGACGTCCTTTATTAGATAATATTTGTCATATACCTAATAGTTGTTAAAGAAATTTTTATTGGATGTATCTTACTCTTCAATGAGATTTAAAAAAAATAACAGATTCTGTCTACTGCAAAATACTTCTTTTTTGTAATAAACCGAAAATTGTGCTTCAACAAACAAAAAGTAAACATATTTACAGTGTAACTTTACTTTTATTTCCATTTTCTTTTATTACAAATATTCATAATCGTAATAATTAGAAATTCAAGCAACGCTTTAATAAAATGTGGTATCTATTATAAGGGCAGCCTTTGCCGCAAGCGTAATTTGACATACAGTTCTTAAAACTACAATGAAATGATATTCAAATGAGATGAAGATTTTTCTTCACCCGTCAGGTTTTGATATGTTAACGTTTTGTATTGTAATGTGATACAAAAGGCCTTTAATTAAGAGGTCCAAGATGTCAAACATAAATATCAAGTGTTGCTTAGCAAAACAATTAGTACACACCATTAGTATGAAGTTGTATCGTGTTTAACAACGATAATTACAATTATTAATTATTATTCACATCAATAACATATGTAATATTTTTGATCGGACATTTTTTAAGAAAAAACAGATGTGATGAAATAAAATTATTACGAAATCATGTGGGAGATCTTTTATTTTTCAAAAGTAAAGATGTAAACTAGTATATTACTGAATATTTGGCGCAAATTATTGTCAGACATCTAAAAATCTCTAAGTATACAATTATTATCAAACTAAGAGTCAAGGTTTGTACTTAAAAAATAAAAGTAATTATATTTAAATGACGCCTTACTTCTATAAATATTGAGGATACAAAGTATCAATGCTAATATGATTAGAATACAGCAACCACGTTTAACATTACAAATAAACACAATGGTGGCTTCGTAATGAGATTTCAGATCTTTAGGTACACTTGTTAAGCGTATCAAATCATAATGAGAATTTTCTTAGCGTTACCCAATTCATGCATTCTGGTTACAAATCAGAAAACGGCCTTACACATGCTTAGCATCGCGATATTATTGTTATTTCAGAAATAAGATCAGTTGAACATTCAACATAACGATTGAGCAATCAAAGTTGGTACATTATTTTATTTTAACTATGTAATTATTTACCTTAACATAGTATTCTGTAAATATTTGGATTTTTTATACTAATCAAATTACCCGATGTGTATATTTCGACATTACAATGCCCTTATATTGTTTTAAGGTCGTAATGGATTTATAATGTAAGCAAATGCTTACAACGCAGTAAGCAAATATTTAAACAAGTAAAAGTAAGCGTAGGTTTACCCCTACTGATACTGCAATGGTGCTAATAGGTAAGGTAAGTTTTGAAAAGAGTTTGAGGTACACCTGTCCTATAATTATATTTTTAATGACTTTATTACATTTAATTAATATAAACTGCATAATTTTGTTTTCTTACTAATGATATCTAAATTTCGGGAGTATTAATTTAAATAAAACTTATATTTTCGAATGCTCTACGTGTTTTTTATTATTTTAAACTACATATTCCCGACGTTTCGATTATCAGCTAGACAGCTACAGTAACAATGAAAGTATGTATTTCAATAATTAAAAAGTTATTTTATGTTCTTAGAACACAACATTATGAAAATATGATGTGACTCAAATTTCAAGCAATACATTTCCGAAATTTTAAATAACTGACAGATCCTTATCAATAAGAAGCTTCTTCATAAGAAACTTTGTTTAACTTTTTAAAGTAAAATTATCTGAGAATAATCTTTAAAAGAAATTGAATAAATGACTTTTTATTAAGTAACACATTGATATAAAGTTTTGACTACTCAAATTTAGAAAAAGTGAATATTAAAACGGGTGATAAAAATCTGTTTTCATTGCTCTGTAATTTATGATTTTATAATTACACACTTAATTTTGTAATTAAGCTGTCAACTACTGATAATATCGTTATGAACAGAAATTATGAATTTTAACGTACAATTTAAAAGAAAACGTATATTTTTGTGTTCTTGATAATTTCGGTTGAATATTTGATATTAGAAAGGCGAATGCAATAACTTTCACGTTTACATTTCTGCTTTACGGTAAGCCAAGATATAATGATCACAACACAGGCTCTATGTATAACTGTTTAAAAGACTTATATCAAACTTTTTATTTGGAAATTCTGAATATTTTATATGAAAATTCTTATTTC